GCTAGCCACTGCGGGGGGTCACGGGGAAATGGGGTGGGGGTCCCCAGCCCGTCACCCGGACCCGGAGCTCCCATAGGGGCTGCTCTTCTCCTCCCTTGCTGAAAGCCAGCAAAATCCCGTGGCTGGGGGTAGCTGCCCTGAGTGCATCAGTGGCCGCCTCTCCGGGGACACAGCTTCATGCCGGTGGCGATGCCGGGGGCTGTGGGGTGCTCGGCGTGGCCCTGCCTGGCCCTGCCTGCTGCTGCCGCCTTCGAGTTACTGCTCTGGAGCTGGTGAAGTGCTGCCAGCGAAGCCAGGAGGAGAGAGAAACCTCTGCCCCCGTGAGCAGGCCGCAGCATGGCAGCCTTGTTCGTGGGCACCGTCATCCCCGATGTGCAATGTCGGGGCCGGTTGCTGTGGCAGCTGGAGCATATTTCAAATTCTGGGTGGTGTTAATGCCCTGGCAAAGCTCAGCCCTCATACAGAAGCGAACTGGTTGCTGCCTCCCTACCTGCCCGGCTTTCCGACAGCTATCTCTATTTGTATCTGACACCCTTCAAAGCAGCCATCCCAGGCAATTTGTTTTCATTTTTTTTTGGTGAAGCAAGTCATGGATTTAATTATCTGAGGACCTTTTGTACCTTTCATTTGCTTTTCAGAGTTAGCAACCTGTTTCTTTCCTGCGGAGAGGGTGTGTCAGTTAAAGCCACGTGTTTCTGTGGGACTTTAAACTTCCAAGTGTGACATTTCTTCCAGTCAGATGTAACGTGGTATACACACTTGCTTAAAAACATAATCTGTTCATGCGGGTATGTGTGGCAACGTGAAGGGACTTCTGTCTTAGTTGTGTTTAATTATTTAAAACATAAATGTGATGCTTTTGAACTAATGTTAAAGTGTACAAGGGAGTGATTATTTTATCTGCTTTGCTTTCTATGGATATTTGCAGTCATGTCTGAGAAAGACAGCAGTGAAAATCTGAAAGAAGAAACCTCTTACAAAGATGAAAATGAACAGAAAGCAGAGGAACTTGGCTGCACTGAGAGCAATGAAGAGAGAGAGCAAGAGCTTGAGCCTGTGCCTATGACTCGGAAAAGACCTGAACCCAAACCCCCAAGCCAGCCTGCTGCCACAGAAAAGCCTGTAGCTGAAACCCTCAAGGTATGTTCCTGTGCTAGCTCTGAATAACGGGACTTCACATTTCATGGCTTTGAGCACAGAAGAATTCTGAGCATAAGCCCCAATCCTTTTCCGAAAATTCACATTGCTATTTATCTGAAAAGAAAAAGCTGCGCAAAAGTTACACGTCACAGACTGCTCATGTTCCTCTCCTCGCCATAATACCTGCATCACTGTTGTGGTTTAACCCCAGCCAGCAACTCAGCCCCACGCAGCCGCTTGCTCACTCCCCCCTGGTGGGATGGGGGAGGGAGAAGAGTGAATGAGAAAACTCGTGGGTTGAGATAAAGACAGTTTAATAGGTAAAGCAAAAGCGGCGCACACAAGCAAAGCAAAACAAGGCATTCATTCACTCCTTCCCATCGGCAGGCAGGTGTTCAGCCATCCCCAGGAAAGCAGGGCTCCATCACATGTAACGCCTGCTTGGGAAGACCCAACGCCATCACTCTGAACATCCCCCCACTTCATTCTCCTTCCCCCAGCTTTATATGCTGAGCATGATGCCATATGGTGTGGAATATCCCTTTGGTCAGTTGGGGTCAGCTGTCCCGGCTGTGTCCCCTCCCAGCTCCTTGTGCCCCCCCAGCCTGCTCGCTGGTGGGGTGGGGTGAGAAGCAGAAAAGGCCTTGACTCTGTGTCAGCACTGCTCAGCAGTAACGAAAACATCCCTGTGTTATCGGCACTGTTTCCAGCACAAATCCAAAACACAGCCCCATACTAGCTACTGTGAAGAAAATTAAATCTATCCCAGCCACAACCAACACAATCACTCTCTTCTGCTTTTCTTCATTAAAGGTCTCGGATTCTCCTGCTGCAGTTCAGACAGGATGGGGGTACTGGGGAAGCTGGGGGAAATCTCTTCTGTCAACTGCGACTGCTACTGTAGCTACTGTAGGTAAGGCTCTTTCTGGTATTTGATAAACATTTTAACCATGCTTCATGTCTCAAGTTAGTGCTTTTGAGCTTGTTTCTAGAGAAGGGGATTTCTGTTATAGCAGCAATTATTGGAAAAATGTCAAGAGAATTGTTCAAGTAATGGGGAAAACTTGTACCAAAAGGTGTAGTGAGATTAAGGAGATATGCACAGCCAAAATTACTTTCAAGTTTTTAAGGCGTTTGCATAATTTTCAGCTGGTATTTTCAACTGGTATTCAGCTGGTATTTACAACTTGATTTAAAAGCTGAGATGAAACCCGAGTTCATTACATCGGTAAGCAAGCTGGATAGGAGGTTTTAGCGTTGGGTAAATTGTCTTGAACAGGAGGAATCCAGAATAATAAAAAACAATATGCAGCCCTAATCCTGTTTCTGTTCTGATTTCTGTTGTATGTCATGGTTAAAGTAATGCTGCTGTCTTCTCTAGGTCAAGGTATTTCAAATGTCATAGAAAAAGCAGAAACAACCCTTGGGATCCCCAGTCCTAGTGAAATCTCTTCAGAGACTAGAGATGCTACAAGAGGTCAGTTATTACTGCTCAAGAACAACACTGAAATGTTTCTCGTAACATAATCAGCCCCAAAATAACATCACCTTACTCTGCATCTTGCATATTGAGGTAGATATCTGTGTGCTAAAATAATACTCTATTGCTTACTTCTCTTGGCTCTGAAAAGTGGGTAGGAAAATAATCCAAATTCTAGCCCTGCTCCTGGCTGACGCTTGGTGTTTGTTGATTTTTTTCCACTCTGCAGCTGACGGGATCTTTTTTTGGGAGTGAGGAAGTTAATTTTCTGCCTTCTAATGCATTCTAATGCAGGAAGCAAGAATCCTGGTGCTAGCAGCACAGATGCAGTTGATGATGGCAGTTCCTTTCCTATTGCTGGGGCTCTTGGAGTTTTATCAACCATCTCTACTGCTGTCCAAAGCACAGTGAGTGAGTTGGGAATGCAGGAGAAAATGAGTTTAAGAGAGCGTTGGGGTTTTTTGCCTTTCATCTGAAACATCATAAGAGGAAACTTTTAATTTTGACTTTTCTGGGATGAATGGTGAGAAACTGTTTCAACCGTCAGACGGTCTTTATCCTGTGCCTTGCTTCTAACTGGCACTTAATGTGTAAGTTGTCTTGAATTTTGATAGTTCTGTATTAAATGTTGATACATAACAAAAAAACCTAATGGTGGACTGTGTGGTGCGTGCATTCCTGTGCATGTCACCTCTGTACTCTGTTATCTCTGCTCCCTTCCTTCAGAGTATTCAGGTAAATGCAGGGTCAGACTCATTCCTGGAATATTTCCACTGATTTCCACAGAACTGTCTAGAGATGAAATCCATTCTCCTCTTCAAAAACTTCTGTGAAACTAGCCTAAATTGCTTGAAAATCAGCTTGCTCCTGTGACCATGAGAAATGCACTTCAAAGGAACCCATTACCCTCAGAAACTGTGCCTTTGTGATCTGCTGTCTTGTCAATTTGCCCGTGAATCTGAAAGAGCCGCAGATGGAAAGCTTGCTTCTGCTTTTAAGGCTTGAACAAGAGTTAGCAACCAAAACCCACAGGTCTAGTGTCTCCTGATTGGAGGGATGAGAATGCAATACTTTAATACTTTAATGCGCTGAGAACCAGCTTGTTCACAAAATACAAACGTATTTCCCATCAGACTGCTGCAGCTGTCTGAGTGCTATATTAAACTGTTGGATGATAGCGTATTGTGGCTCTTTCCATATCCTTCTGCTCTCTTTGTGGCAATTAGAGTTGAATTTTAGGGTGGCAAGGACTAATTTGGCTTTTATGTGAGTGTCCGGCATAACATCGCTGATATAAATCCCCCAATTCAGTTTCTTCAGTTGTGTAGTCTTCTGTGAGTTTTACGCGCTGTCTATATCCAAATCTGATTCCTAGGGAAAAAGTGTTATTAGTGGAGGTCTGGATGCCTTGGAATTCATTGGGAAAAAGACAATGGATGTAATAGCTGAGGGAGACCCTGGATTCAAAAAAACAAAAGGCCTAATGAACAGAAACTCTACATTATCTCAGGTATGGCAGTTCCGTATCAGCTCCTCATTGGTTTCTCTCACTTCTTCTCCCTTCTTTTGCGGTCCTGTCATTAAGCAACCATTTTTTACTATTGAACCAAAAGCCTTCTTCTCCCATATTCTGTATCTTCTGGCACTGACCTGAGTCCTCTGCTTTTCTTTTTCAGGTCTTACGAGAGGCAAAGGAGAAAGAAGAGCAGCAGACAGCTGCTGAGGTTACCATGGCTACGGAGAAGAAAGCCCATTATGGGTTACTGTTTGATGAGTTTCAGGGTCTTTCGCATCTGGAGGCCTTAGAGATGCTTTCCAGAGAGAGTGAATCAAAGGTAATGGCCTTGAGCAATTTGCCTTCTATTTTGAGTTCAGCTGAGCAGGGAAAAAGATTAGAAATATGTGTATATCCATGTAAAATCAAGTGCTCAGAACTTGCTATAAAGTGATTGATTACACAACTTCACTTTGACCCCTGCATTATGATCTGGTGTTTACCTTGGGAGCATTATGTCCTGTCCTCAGCTCCTAGAGCCATTCTCTTCACCCAGCTAGCCTCAGTTCCTGCATGTCTTCATCAACTTTTCACAAGTTACTGTCTCGTCATACCCACTTGTTTGCTGCCTTGGTCTGGAGAAGAGGAGAGTATTGTAAGCGCAGCAGAGATTGTCCTCTGTCTTGGTGCAGGGAGGAGGGCAGATCAGCATGCGATTTCAGAAGTCATTCACTCTTTTATGAAAGAAATTATTTGAATAACTCCTTAAGAATCCATTATTATCTAACGAGACTTCAGAAATAGGTCTTTTTCCCCTTCCCCCTTCCTGTAGGAAAATACCACTTTCTCATTAATATCAGTCTGTGATGTTTTTACATGCGATGTAAACCAGTGCTGCATCTTCCATCCTGTTTCTTTTTCTTGTTGGATTTATGATTCTCTTTTTGGCTGTGCTGCCCCTAACTAGGTGAAATCGGTTCTAAATGCCCTCTCTGGAGAAGAGTTGGTCACACTGAAGGAGGAAATGGAACAACTCAAAGAAGCGTTTTCTTTACCTGAATTCTTTGAAGAAGAGGAAGAAGAAAAGAAGGGTAAGAGACCCCCAGGTTCTGGGAGGAGAAGCTGGTTCACAATGAAATTCTCGGTGTAGAACCAACCAGCCCTGATCACTAGCAATGGGCATGATGCTGAAGTTAAGTTATTCTTTAGCTGGGTGCTTAATCCTAAAGCTGTCTGTGGCCAGGAGCATGACAGGTAGCAATACCCTTCATCTCTGGAAAGCTGCTGTGCATTAATTCTGTAGCAGGAACGATTTCTTGCCAGAGCAGGATTAGAGTTGCTTGACTCCTGGGCAGTTCGTACAACTGACCTTGAGCCAAGATGCATATTCAAAGAGTTGCTGGGTTCCCCTGACCATGAGGGAAAGACTGTGAGTAGAGTTGTCCGACCTGTGGGAAAGCAAAAAGCCTTTTTATTTATTTTTTACATCGGAGTTGCCACACAGACCAAAAGACTCAGAGGTGCCTCCATACACAAGAGCCATCTGATTCTTGAGGATTATGCAGATTTAAATGTACATTTCTTGCATTGCTTTTACCTAAATGGCTCATCAGGGAGGGCTTACACATCTGCACTTGCTATCATTTAACATTTAATGTATCTTTTATATTTGCATATGATGGATCTCACACAGCCTTCCCCCCCTGTTACCGTCTCCCCCGCCGTATATAATAGAACCATAGGCTTTAAGTTTTCAGAGTCTCCAAGGTGAAGCGCAAATTAGTGCATTATAAAATGCTGCCTGCAAAAAAAATAAAAATAAAAAAAAAATAATAATAATAAAAAAAAAAAATTTACCTTAGC